GGGAAAATCAAGTATCTATGTATTCAGAAAAAAGCATTAATTAGGGAGGAGATTCTCCACTATCCGACTGCCCAGCTACTTAGAGCATAGCTGTGTTTTCGAACATCAGCCTCAGACTTCGTCTAATGGAATTTAGTTACCACGTCAAACTGCCACACTTGTGCATTGGGTAAAAGCCCTCTTTCAGGTACCGTGTGACCTTGGGCACACCACTTTTTAAAAATTATTTTCCTTACTTACAAATAAAAGGAATAAAATGAGATAAATACTGGAAGTGGTTTGGATCAGAAAGGCCCTGACCCAAGACCTCACAAACATTAGCCATCATCGTCACGACCATGACTCTAATAGCCCTTCATACAGTTCCTCTCTGAAGCCAGAAGTTGGCTCTCCTGTATTACAGCAAAATAAAAAGATGCTCAGAGGAAGTCCTTATACAGAACAAGATATACAAAGCCCTCATTGCTATGATTCTTTTGCTCCCACGACACCGTCAGGCCTATACCTTGCTGACAGGAGAGCGCTGAAGGATGTGTGGCATGGGAAGCTGGCTGTGCAGGGACGGTGCAGTGTAGGGTGGCACAGCAGAGATGGCTGTGAGCACATTCCAGTAGGGCATTGCAGGCATCCGCTGTTATCATGGGCGCATTCCCAAGCTTCCCCAGGGTTACACCACAGCTTAGATCACCTCTTACCCGGACCCAGTATCAGCGGTCAGGACATTTTATTGTTCAGTTAGGTATATCTCCATAGTAAGAGCAATTGATATTTACCAAAGTCTGACTTTATAGCTTTCATAAATATGCAATGCAAAGGAATTTTGCAAGGCTGGCACTTGTGTATGTTTTCACTAATGTGGAGCATATAACAAACCTCTATGTTAAATAGCTATTCAATGCCAGAATTAAAACTCAAATAGAGCTTTTCCCAAATAGAGTCTACTCCTCTTTCCATAGCCATATGAGAGACTAGAATGAATGCTAGGAAGTTAGAGGACAGCCTGTAGGCAACTGGCTACCAGCCACAGAGATGATGGGAGGCAGAGTTCAAGGTTCGTGTGGCAGGTCATTCATTTACAGAATCCAGATTTAAAGGCCAGACCTAAGTATTCTCTAAAAACAAGTTAATCATTATCTAAATGTTATTAGAAGATCATGTTTTAAAGGGCAGAAAAAACAACATCAAATGCAAGCCATGATTAGTTCTGACAAAATAGCTTCTGATAATACTTCGCATTTCCAGTTGGCATGTACGCCTTTCACAAACATAAATCATTTCCTGTTCTTTAAGTCTCATTGCAATTCTTCCAGTTAAAGTAGTGGCAAAGCTAAACACTCTGAGTAAGTTTCAAAAATATCCTAAGCATCTACACTGTTACCCCTTTGGAGTGGAGTGCTGACAGCCCATGGATATAAAGTAACCGAGGCTTGCCTTTAGCAAGTGAAGATGCCAACAGATAACTGTAGTCTGCTAAGGGAAGCAGATAATGAAGATAGGGGCTGGAGAAGGGCTGGCTGAAGATGGGTGGAAAAGCAGAATAGCTCTTACCTAGAGAGGGTGGACCTACTTATGCTTATGGCGGAGTTACAATGATTCCAGGACAGACCCCTAAAATAGATTTGTGTGTAAGGGGTAAAATTAGGTGTCAGAGAGGTCAAGAGGAAGGTTTTCCAGTTGGGGAGGCTGGAATACTGTCCAGGTAGAACATTTATTAACTATTTACACTGTGCCAGATCAGACAGACAAAAGCAAGTCTAACAAGGTCTTTGTTTCTTTCTGCAGCTCAGCCTTGGAGGTGTAGTGGTGGTGAGGGTTAGAGACAGAACAGTGGTTACAGAGATGAACGTAGGCGCAGATTCCATTGCTCCAGGAATAGTTGTAGCACTTGGTAACTGATCAAATTCAGGGCCTGCCTGTGGGCAAGACGGTGCTCAAAGAGCCTAGTTTCTAGCTTAGATTTGATGTCATTTGTCAGATTATGAAATACAAGAGCAGCGAGTTCCCTTGCTGCCTTCCACCACTTCTTCCGCAGACATAAGGAGATAAATAAGGTCTCAGCAGGATAGGAGTCATGAATCCAAACAACCCAGGTGACTGCCAGACTCTTCCAATGCAGGTAAACACTGTCATAAGAAATCACCCCAAGCACAAAACCATCCTCAAAGTGTCAATGGCTGAACTATAGATCACGATCTAATTGATTTCTTATTAAAAAACCACATTAGATAAACAACGTACAGCAGTCAGGCATTTGAGATGTTGAATTTCTTTGCTATCCGTGTGTGTGTGTGTGTGTGTGTGTGTGTGTGTGTGTGTGCATGCGTGGTGTGAGTACCTGCACACTTGAGTGGGAAGGCCAGAGGAAGACATGAGGACATGAGGGATCTTCTTCTTTCATACTCGACCTTATTCGCCTCAGGCTCTCATTGAACCTGAAATTCACTGGTTTTGTCACCCACCTGCTCCACTACACAAAGCTAGGGTTGCAGGCACAGGGGCCACATTCAGCTATTATGTGGGTATTGGGGACTTGAACTCAGGTTCCCATGCACGACAAGTGCTCTTAGTCTCTATGCCATCTACCCAAACCCTAATTTTTGTTGTCAATTTTAGGAAACCTAAGATGAGAGACCAGTTTCTGTTCACATGAATGACAAACAGGGATGTTCAAGTCTTGGCCTGATCCTGCCATGTAATTTCCTCTTCACATGACCCCAGGAGACATCCAGAGCTCTCAGCTTAGTTCCAGGCCCGTTGCCACAACACCCAAGGGGCAGCTTGGACACTGGAGACCTAGCAAGGATAGCTGCACACTTGCTACCATGTCTTTCTTTATCTCTGTTGCCAAAAAATGACTTCTTGGTTTTTCTCAAAAAGTAAGACAGCTTTTGTGGAGAGCCAACCAATAGAGGGGCAGGAGGAGGAAGGACCAAAAGAATGCAGGGTAGTCTCAGCGAGGGAGCTGGGGCTGCCCACGCCCCACCTAGTGACTCCTGCCGGCGAGGGAGCTGGGGCTGCCTGCGTTCCACCTGGCGACTCCTGCCAGCAGAGATACTAGAGAACTGCAAAGATTTCTATTAAACGACTTCTCAGGCCCTTCTGTCTCGGGATATTAAACACACAGATTGACATTTTAATTAGAATTAGAGGGAAACCTCCGAAAAGAGGCAGTTTTCCAGAAATGAAAAAGGTGTGGGATTTTTACAGAGAAAGACATGCTTGATAACTTAAGTGCCCGCCTAAGAAGAAATACACTCCTAATGCAATTATTTCCACCTAAAATATGTGTCCCATTTTGTAGGGCTTAAAAAGAATTTTAATAAAGTCATGGAATAATACATTATTAAAGGGGAATTTTAAATGACAAATTGACTTACTAAAAATGACATAAAAACCAGCTATGAGGCTCTCCCAGCAGTGACTGGAGATCGGTGAAAACACTGGGCAGTTCCGAGCAGGGGAAGGGGCACTTTTGTCACAATCATTGCAAATTCACTGCTGCTCAATACTTCTGGAAAGTTGCAGCCTCAACTGAAGCTTTCAGTAGTCACCTAATTCAGTCCTACCATATTCCCACTGGTTCTGGACAGAAATGTGTTCATAGCCGGTGAAATACCGGGTAGAGGACACTTGGCTATTACTGCGAATTATGCATGACGAGTACTTTTTAAGTATCTATGTATCTAGTATCTATGTATAATTTACATAAGGGACTGGCTGAAGTAAGAAATACCTTGTCTATAGAATATGTGTGAAGTCACTGAAAAATGAAACAATGAGTGTTCTGATATGGAAATACCTTTTGATAAACAAGAAGAAGAAAGTTGTAGATCTTTGAGTTTACTAGAATTATCCTTCTTATTACAAAATGAACTAAACCACGTATTGTTGTTGGTTGTTTTTTACTCTTTGCTCTTGGGTGGGGCGGCGGGGGGTGGAGTCTTATTACTTATGGATGTCCAGACTTAACTCAGCTTGTTTCTAGCCAGCTTTTCTTACGTTATCCCATCTACCTTTTGCCTCTGGGCTTTTATCTTTCTCTGTTCTGCAAACCTTTCTTTACTTTTCACCCTGAGGCTTGCTGTGTAGCTGGGTGGCTGGCCCCTTGTGTCCTCCTCCCACTTGTTCTCTCCGCCTGACAGCCCCGCCTATCCTTTCTCTACCCACCTATTGGCTGGCTATTCAGCTCTTTATTAAATTAATCAGGTGTTTTAGACAGGCAAAGTACCAGAGCGTCACAGAGTTAAATAAACAAGACATAAAAGAATGCAACGCATCTTTGCATCACTAAAACAATTGTTCCACCACATAAACAAATGTAACATCTCTTAAAATAATATTTCACAACTACAAATATCATAAAGAAACGCGTCAGAAAAAAATATGCACCAAAGTTTATAAGAGCGCCTGTGTTCTTTCTCTGAGAACTTAGGACTTAAGATCTCCCAGGTTCCACATTCAACTCTGGAGAGCCTTGGAGCCAAAAGGTACCCACAGAGATACACACAGGCTTTCCCTTTGGAGAGTACTCCAACGAGCAACTGTCAAGTGAGTATTGGAGAGCCCAGACCAGTCTCCAACTAGGAAACCTGTCCCAAGCTAAAGAAAACACCTTTCCAAAGCCAAACTCAGCAAACTGAGCAGGGCGAATGGTACTGGCTAGGAAATAGCTGCGAATCCCGGCATTACAATCACACACGTGCGACCCAGACCTGACCCACACCCACACATGGAATTCCGGAAGACAGTAAAAGGAGCGTTCCCCGCGGTCGGGAGGGCAGGTCTTCCCACTTTCTCCACCCACCCAAGACAGCCTCAGCCGGGAAACAGCCGCCCGCCACACCCCATCTCCTTTGGGTCCCGCCCGTGGCTCTTCGCCTGGCACCAAGGTGGTCTCAGAGCTGATCGATCCGCTCTTAAGGTCCGAGAGGGGGTCAGATGCACCAGGGCACGGGAAAAATGAAGACAGATCACCTGCACCCGAGGGATAGCGCACTCACCTTCATGATCCGTGGACCCGATTCCACCGTGGACCCCTGCAGCGTTCTCCCACTGGTCCGCACCGAGGCCCTGGGCCTCAGTAGCAGCCATTACCTGGACCAGCAGAAGGGGGTGGGCCGTGGGCGGAGCGTAGCAGAGATGCACCAATAGAAACGCGCCTGGGATCACAGGCCGACCCACTGGGTGATTTCCTACACGCTTATGCTTTGCCGTCTCATTCTGGACCAATAATATGCGGCGAGCTTAACTGGTTGCTCCGCCCCCTAACTGCTGGAGCCTCGCCCCCTTCTGGCTCCGCGAGACGACGAACTACAACTCCCGGCATGCCTTGCCGGGGGGGGGGGGAGGGAGGTAGCGCTGGATGAGCCGCTGACGGGCGGGGGTGCGCCCGCGAGTGCCCCGGCGTGTTCGCTTAGTTCAGTGAATCAGAACAATGACTGCGCCGCCGGGTCCCCGGGAGCGCGTCGCAGGGCTGTGAGCAGCCGCGGCCGGCAG